ACTTTGTAATCTCTCTTTCCAGCAAATGGAGCGGTTCAAGGTAGTGGAACGTGAGACCAAGACAAAAGCCTACTCCAAAGAGGGGCTGGGCCTGGCCCAGAAAGTGGACCCAGCCCAGAAGGAGAAAGAGGAAGTTGGGCAGTGGCTGACGGTGAGAACTAGGAAATGTTGGCTGGATTGGATGGCAAAGCAGCTTCTGGAGAAAGCGGGGAGCAGAACTCATTTTGCCCAACCTTAGACTGAAAATGTAAAGGGGTCCATCTTAGAAATTACTTATGTGACTTATCAGAAGTTACTAGATAGGGTGAAGAGCATCTCGAAACTCTACAATTTGCAGTGGTTGATGGCCCAAAGGCAGGGGTCTCCAAACTTGGGAACTTTAAGGCTTGTGGAATTCAACTCCCAGAATCCCCCAGCCAGTCTAAAAGAGCCCTTTCCCTTATCCCCTCCTCTAAGGTTAAAATCGAAGCCAGAATTTTTGTCTTCCAAGAAGGAGACGCTTGTGGATATTTTGGTTGCTCAATACCAAAAAGTCTCATGACAACCTGAAAAGAAATTCTCTTGCCTGAATAAGGGAGAAGTTCTGGTGGTGATGACCCTTGGCTACATAGACAGTTGCACAATTAGAAGAATCTTTGAACTCATTGAATGCAGAATAGAGGTTGAAGCTGGCCATAGAATCATAGGGCTGGGAAAGACCTTGGAGGGAGCCCAGAGGGAGTTTCTCCAAGTCAATTCACAGGAGTTGTCAGTAACCAGTGTAGTTTGGGGAATAGATTTGGGGGGGCCATGCTGTTGGAAAATGGCGGTTTGTTAACAAGTTTTGTGTCTCCCATCTCTTGGCCCACTGATTTTTATTTTAACCAAAATTTTATTTATGTACGTATTAATACTATAAAATACAGAAATACAAAAAGAAAATAGTGGGAAAGATAGGCGAGGGAAAAGTGTGGGGAAAAGGGGAAAAAATGGTGTTGACTTCTAACTTCAATACTGTAAAATAATAAATTAACAGCATCAAACCTCAATTTCTTTACTTTTAGATAGTAGTGTAACTAGCCATTTCTACAACAAAAAAAGTCTAATCAGTAGATATCTAATCAGTAAAATCCAAAGTCAATGTTTCATATATTTTTCCCCACTGGAGCACAAAGTTCAGAAGCAGTTTTCAAGCAGAAAGAAAAGTAGTTGTATTTTTGTCTTTAATCAAGGAGGTCAGTTTGGCCATCTCTGCTAACTCCCACCANACTCCAGGGCAAAAGGGCTGGGTTAATACCCATGTGTTACTCCTCCCACACCTTCTCTTAAACATGCAGTTCAGGTAAGACCAACTGCCATTCCAATTCCACTGATGTTTCTTGTGCTCAAGGGTCAATGGGTCAAATCTGGGGCTTTTTCCACCTGGGGGGGGGGGTGAGCATCGTTTTTATAACCTTGAGGCCAGTTTTTCCCAAGCCTTGCAGATGCCTACAGTGGATGCTCCTGTGGTCGTGCTGGCGTCTTCTTCATCCCTCGTAGTGGGTGACATCTCCAACAATCTAAAGGCGGAGGATAAGAAGGCAGAACTGACCCTGCACAAGACCTTCCAGGCAGCAACCTGGGCGGTCAAGGCAGCGGCCGCTGCATCCTTCTTCAACAGGACAACTCTTCTTTGGCTGACTCAGATGCAAGAGAGGGCCTCATTGTCAGATGTGCAACTTCTTCAAGACATCAAGAAGCTCACAGCGGCTACCCAGTTTTCGGTGGATGCCACGCTTGATGCGTTCAAATGTGCTTCAAGGGCTCTCTTCTTATCGGTGGCCTCCAGGCGACTTCTGTGGTTGCGAGGATGGCAGGCGGATGCCCGATCCAAGTGGAACCTGGCAGCGGCTGAATATTCTGGCAAGAAACTATTTGGCGCTTCACTGGATCCCATTTTAGTGGAAGATAAAAATAAGTGCAAAGTTCTCCCCACTGTGGCAAAGCGCCCGGAACAACGGCTGCCCCCCTACCCTGAGGAGGTCTTCCTATCGACCCTCTGAACAAGACTTCCAACCGCAGAGGTACTCCTCTTCCAGATACCCTAGGCAGGGAGATAGGCAGTACTACAGGGACAGAACTAGGTACCAGCAGCCTAGTAAGCGGCCCTTTCGGTGTGTGTGTTTGTGGTGTGTGTGTGGCCATCCTTACCGCAGAAGTAAGTAATTCTTCCATGGATCATTTTATAGGCGGCCGCCTTGCCCTATTTGCGGATCGCTGGGACCTCATCACAACTGATGAGTGGATCCTTCAAACCATCAGGTTTGGTTTATGTTTGGAGTTCCTTTCTCACTCCCCAAATCATTTTTGGCTCTTTTCATCCTCTAGGAACCCGGTCAAGTGTAAGCTCATGAGTAAGGCCATTTAGCATGTGCTGACTATACAGGCGGTTGAGCTGGTTCCTGATGATCAAAAGAGTTCTGGTTTCTGCTCCAATTTGTTTGTAGTTCCAAAGAATTCAGGGGGGGGTAGAGGGTGATCCTGGATTTGAAGTTGTTAAATTCTAGGTTAGTGTACAAGAAATTTAAGATGACTTCCTTAAAGTCTATCCTGGAGGAGATTAGACAGGGCGATTTCTTGGCTTCCATAGACCTTTCGGCGGCCTACCTGCATATTATGATTTGGCCTGAATACAGGACATTTTTTTAAGTTTTCACATAGCGGGTTCATTATCAGTACAGGGCCCTCCCTTTTGGACTGGTGTCGGCACCTCGGACCTTTACCAAGGTGCTGGCTGTAGTGGCGGGCCATCTCTGGTCCGTCCCGGTCTGCCTACAGTGCTACCTGGATGACATCCTCGTTCAGGCAGCGACACCGGGCATGGCCAAGAGGGATCTTGGACTCACAATTGGGTTGTTGCAGACTCTGGGATTCTCGATCAACTTCAAGAAGAGTTACCTGGAGCCCACTACTAGGCTTCAGCATTTAGGAGCAGTCATTGACACAGTGGGGAGCTAGGTGTTCCTGTCACAGGACCGTAGGGATAATATTATTCAACTGCTTCAGCAGATTTGCAGGGCACATTCTGTTCCCGTAGTTCTTCTCTCTCGACTCCTCCATTTCTTGCATTGCGATCATCCCATGGGCCCGCCTCCATGCCAGTGAGCTGCAGTGGCTACTGCTTCCTCACCAGAGGCACGGGACCAGCGATGCGACTTTCAAAATCCACATGCCACCCTAGGTCCTCCTGTCCTTTTGTTGGTGGACGTCTCCAGCCCTGGCCAAGGGCTCCCTGTTCAGGGATCCAGACAGGTTGGTGCTCACAACCGATGCAAGTCTATTCAGATGAGGGGCACATCTCGACTCTCAGCTGGCCCTGGGGCGATGGATGCCCTCGGACTTAAGGCAAAACATCAATTGGCTGTAACTCAGGGCAATCCACCTAGCTCTTTGTCACGTCAGAGAGCGAGTCTCCAGACAAAACGTCCTTGTCCTTACGGACAATGTCGCCGCCAAAGCCCATGTCAACAAGCAAGGGGGCAACTACTCGCGGGCCCTTTGAAATGAGGCAGCGAAGTTGGGGAACTGGGCGTAACGGCATCTCCTGTCACTGAGGGCAGAGCTGTTCTGACCCCCCTCTTCCTACACCAAAGCACGCAGAGACAAAGATACTTCAAGGATTTATTAACACACAGACTAGACCTTGGCAGCAATCCAGCACAGACTACCCTTGGCGGCAATCCAGCCTGTCAAGCTAGCCACGATAGCTTCTTCAGCTCTAGTAAATACGTTGATTCCTGCGACGAGCGTGTGGAAAGTCATTCCTTTTATAGTCTTGAGAGGAGCCTAATTACCACCAGCTGAGTTCAATTATCTCCTGTAACTGCATAACTGTTCCTTATGCCTATTAGCCCTCCATTGCCAGGCATCCAAAACCAACTCCCTTGTCTCCTCCCCACTGCTCCAATGCATGACATCACCATCACACTCCCTTATCTCCTCCCCACTGCTCCAAT